CAGTGAGTAAAGACTTGCTACAAAGTAGACTGAATTATTTCATACATTATCAGTGAGTAAAGACTTGCTACAAAGTAGACTAAACTGAATTATTTCATACATGATCAATGAATGAAGACTTGCTACAAAGTAGACTAAACTGAATTATTTCATAAATTATCAATGAATGAAGACTTGCTACAAAGTAGACTAAACTGAAATATTTCATACATTATGAGTGAGTAAAGACTTGCTACAAAGTAAACTGAATTATTTCATTCATTATCAGTGAGTGAAGACTTGCTACAAAGTAGACTAAACTGAATTATTTCATACATTATCAGTGAGTGAAGACTTGCTACAAAGTAGACTAAACTGAATTATTTCATACATTATGAGTGAGTAAAGACTTGGAACAAAGTATTTCTTTTAACTTTGATACAAGTTTAGTTTTATTGGATTGAGCCAAAAACTGTTCTCAACTTTGTTATGTGATTGCCTGTATCTCAGTTTTGAGAAGCCATAGATAGACTTGTGATCTGATCAAACAATGATAAATTTTTTTGTTCAATTCAACATTATAAGGCAATATGGCTTCCTGTTTGGTGGAGATTCACGTATAGTTTGGAACAGTGATAGTGTTTTATAATGTACTGCTAGGAGAAACAATTCTTCTAAAGTTATAGTTGATTCTTTTACAGTTTGTGAAAATTTTACATTATCATTTTGCATTTGAATTTTTTCATACTTGGCTCACAGTCTAACTTCATACAGCCAAGTGTAAAATATTAAAATATAGTTTTTTATTACACTTCAACATCATAATTCAAGTGTAAATACAGTCTAACTTCATACAGCCCAGTGCAAAATGATAGTTTTACTATTACACTTCAACATCATAATTCAAATGTAAACACAGTCTAGCTTCATACTATTTACACTTGAATTATGATGTTGAAGTGTAATAGAAAAACTATCATTTTGCACCCTAATGTAAATACAGTATAACTTCATACAGCCAAGTGTAAAATGATAGTTTTTCTATTACACTTCAACATCATAATTCAAATGTAAACACAGTCTAACTTCATACAGTCCAGTGCAAAATGATAGTTTTTCTATTACACTTCAACATCATAATTCAAGTGTAAACACAGTCTAACTTCATACAGCCAAGTGTAAAATGATAGTTTTTTCTATTACACTTCAACATCATAATTCAAATGTAAATACAGTCTTACTTCATACAGCCCAATTTGATTTGTAGCAAGGATACCTAAATGGTGTAACAATGCATTATCATTTTTATAAGAACAGTATGTATAATTAATTATTCTGAGTTTTTATCTAAAAAAGTAGCTTGTTTTAATCATAACTTCATAATAATTACAATCTTGTTTATAATACAAATAGATTTGTTCAGTTTTATCCCCCTACTCCCAGAAATAGGATTTAAAAGCTTTAGAAGTTCAAAGTAACCTGTAATAACAGCCTTGCAACTGAATTAGCTCTATCACACAATGCACTTGTTGTGTGGTTTATTTTATTCCACTGCAAAGAGAAATGAAACAGTTTGAAATTCAGATGAACTTTCTACAGATTATGTAGCTTCTGCAAATATCTTATTTCTATACAATATAATTTTTAAGTATCAATTCAAAATGCTTAACTTTATTGCAGATGTTAATTACTGCTTTTTTATTTTTATCTATGTTCTCATAAAACTTTCCCATAAAGTATATGCTCTACTAAGCTGTAAGTTTTATCTTTGTTTTGTGCCACATATAGTTTGTGTTTACCATATGAAAATCATGTTGACTTTATAAAGTTGTTAACAGGGTTTTTGTTCAACACAAGTTTCAAACACATTTTCTATTCATATTTTCAACTTCCTTTTCGTGATTTTCTATTCATGGAGTAATGTAGGCTATTAAGTGGTTCTTTAAGACACAGTTTTACACGTTAACTAATAAATACTAGTTCTTTAAGACACAGTTTTACACGTTAACTGATAAATACTAGTTCTTTAGACATAGTTTTACATGTTAACTGATAAATACCAGTTCTTTAAGACAGAGTATTACCTAAGAATAAACTGAAACACTTGCAGTACTTTTCAAAACCCTGATGCCTAAGATAAAATCAAATCCTTCTGATACTTGTATTTCTTTACGAGCTTACTCTTGTCCCCCAGAAACAATGGTCAGGGGGTACTGACTAAAATGAAGGATAGAAAAATATAGAGGGTAATTATTTTGCTCCTTTTTATATGAATCTTCCACCAATGTGATAATTCAAGTAAATTGCTACAACTGATTACAGGAAAGTCAGGTGTATAAACAGATTAACTACTATTGGACCCGCACTTTTTTGACAGCTGGTTCTTCAGGTGGACAAGTGTTTTTGGTGTTTTCTTCAACTCCATCACTAAAAGTAGAATTGTCAAGGTTTGAATCCTCTGATTTTTCTGGACCAGTACCAAAAGTGTTAGTAGATGAGATCTTGGAATCACGGCTCTCCTCACCGGGTTCCTCAGAATTGTTATCCTGTTCTTTGTCGATAACAGCTGATGTTTGGTCATCAACTGGTTCATTATCCTGGTGGCTATTGGATTTACCATTTGGGGTGGCAGAGTTATCATCTACTACTTCTTTGGGCATTCCTTCCAACAAAGAAGGCTTCAGCTCCCGTGCCAAGTAGTGGGTCCACAGGGTAAGCTCCACCTTGTGGGGAGTCCATTTTCCTTCTGAATCTAACAAAAATTAAAATTTCTTGTTATAAATAATAACTTCTGCATTTAATCAGGATTTCACCATCCAATTACGTTTAGGTTAAGTTAACTCATCAAAATAAGAACTTAAACGTTGTACATTTGCTGTTATATTAAAGTTTTTCTTCATTACCCATTCAAGCCGTCTCCAGCCATTATTTGTCTCAAAGTGGGTTCCTCGTCATCGAATACGTCATAGACACTAAATATAAACGTATTTTCTTGTGAAACAAAATAATTCTGTTTTGGCCCCCTCGTGGTACTAGCGGCATGTCTACGGACTTACAACGCTAGAAACTGGGTTTCGATACCCGTGGTGGGCAGAGAACAGATAGCCCATTGTGTAGCTTTGTGCTTAAATTCAAAACAAACAAACTTCTGTTTGTAGCAGTATAACTGTTTTATTGTTCCTGGTATGTCATACCCTGTTTTACCTTATTGGTATAACTTTTTTATTGTTCCTCGTATGTCATATATTGTTTTACCTTACTGGTATAACTGTTTTATTGTTCCTGGTATGTCATACCACCATTTTGTACCTTACTGGTATGCATGTTATTGCATACTGTTCCACTTTAACTACCGACTCAACTTCCCAGAATAAGATCGAGTAGTCAGCTTCCTATTCAAATGCTCTTAATGACCTAGTTGAACTTACTGTTACTTATAATGATCCCATAGCTCAAAGTTGTACCTTTCGATACACAGCCTGTCACTTCAACCACTATTTCCAGTGCTTATAATTACAAACTGAAACATTTTGAATAATAATTGTGCTTTTAGAATTGATTTAAACATGCAAATACTTTATCTTGACGAAAACACGAATCTCAGTTACCGATAAAAAAGGCAGGTGTACAACCATACTTACTCTCTAACACAGGTAGTCATAACAATGGTAGGTTTACAACCACCAGTGTCTCTACAATCACACGTATCCTCTAATGCAAGTTTGAATCTTGGGTAGTAATAAGAAAAGCCTTTTTACAACCATTAGTGTGTGTACTAAAATTCAATAATCCGAGATATAAGTATAAAACTCGGGCCAAGCGGGATTCACAGTATATTATACTTGCAAGCTGCCAAACAGTGGGGCATTTCAAATGTTAAACGTTTAGAGAATTGATAACGATACTCAATGCCCATAAAAAGAATATAAGTGGGTTATCATAACTATTACACTAATTTAACAAGTTTTGAAGACCACCAGCATGCTCAGGATTTTCTACTTGGTGAGGAGTTGATTTTACTACTGACCCAAAGACTTTTATTGCTGGCTTGTCTTTTAATCCAGTAGAGCCCACGGATTAAAATGCGCTGTTGGCCGAAGCATCAGATATAAGGGACCTAGTTAGCTTTGAAGTATCCTGGGAAGAGTTAGCCATAGTAAGTCAATGATCTAGCCACAAAATCCAAGCCCTCACAAAACGAATTGACTTCGACCTCAGAGAAACTGCCACAAAAATACCATGTTAGTTAAGCCAAGCCAGCCAACTTCAGCACAACCAGTGAAGCAGGAGTTGAGGATAGCATCCAGACAATCAGAAGCTTCTTCTGAGATGTCCCATCAGATAACGTTTCATCACCACTTGGAGACGACATCAGACATTCATTCATGTCTGTCAAGGCTACTACATCAGGAGATGACACCAGACATGCACTTACATCTGGCAGAATTGCTACATCCAGAGATGACACCAGACATTCACTCGCATCTGGCAAGATTACAACATCATGAGGCAACATTCACTCTTATCTAGCAGGACTACTACATCTAGAGACAACACCAGACATGCACTTATATCTGGCAGGACTACTATATCTTAAGACAATACCGAACATTCACTCACGTCAGGAAAGACTACTAAACTTGGAGGTAACACCAGACATTCACTCACGTCTTGCAGGACTGCTACATCCAGAGACAACACCAAACATCTGACAGGACTGATACAGCTGGAGACAATACCACACATTCACTCATATCTGGCAGGACTACGACATCCCAAAGCCTAAAACAACTTTCCCAGAGCTAAGGTCAGCTGAAGGGGTGCCTAGACACTTGACTAGCACCATTAATGATGGTGGTGGAAGCTCTGACAGCCCCTTCTATTACTTGTAGAAATATCACGAGTATTAGAACGAAGTTAGATGTCAAAACCTTATCTCCATTCGCATTTCTACCATTGTCAACAGTGAGGACCTCCTGGGTCAATTAAGGAGCCTCTACTTTGACAGACAACCAAGCAATGACCACAAACCCATGAACAACCTTAAAAAAGTCAGGGATTAACCTGCCAATTACCCCATGCACCATCATCGTCGTCCTGACAGTGCAGAAGATCCAGCTACTAAAGCAGTACTGCCAAGAGATGGTCATCAAATGGACTGAAGACTAGTCGATGTACGACCAGGAAGAAGATCGACATTCAATGCCACCTCCCCAATTGGAAGAATAAGCATTGAGTTTCAAAGACAGTTTTGCAAATATATGGGTACCTCTGCATTTATCTTTATTGATTTACTATAAATCTGAATCCAGTTGACTTGTAAATAATTTCTTATAGTTAATAATTTGTCATTATTTTGAGGTAACACCTGGCCTGCCTCTAGGCAGATTCGGCTGCATTGTTTCACATTATCCTTCAATGACTAGTTAATCTGGGTAAATCTGATGTTATTTTTGAATTATGTAACATGAGTTTAAAACAGTTGTAGAGAAAACAGCTTATGATCCAGTCCAGCATTCTAAACCAGTACACAAACAGTGTTTCTGTTACTAAATATAATTATAATTATGTCCAGTCTCTTCATTTGCTTCTCACAAACTCGGCCTGTTTGAGAAAAATTATGTAATAACTATCCTGTTGAATCTCCTGTTATTCTGTGGAGCTATCTTGTCCCTCCAAATAAGATCGGTTTCACCTGAATATACTACACACGTAAACCGGATATCACGTGCTCACAACTAATGCTTGGTGAAAACAACTATTTACTAAAAACTACACAGAAAATCTTGCAAATAATAAATGGTTCTGGGATTTTGCAAGTTTTTGAATTTGTCACAGCACCCAAGTTTTACCCCCCCCCCCCCAATACGTGCTAGAAGAAAACGTTTATGTGAAAGATTGATGCTGATTTTTCCCCAATGGTTCTTACAGATATCCAAACATTCTCCTGATAACAAAGATATCAACACATATTGTAAGGAGTGCCTCAGTCCTTCTAAATATACGTGAGCAGCTTCATGGTAGCAATGACATAAACATGTCTGGTAAAGGGTGCTTCAATCTTTCTTAGGTATGCCTGAGTAATCTCATGGTAGCAATTGTATCAACACATCTTGTAAGTAGTGCCTCACTTACACTTATAGATATCCAAACATTCTCATGGTAGTAATGATATCAACACGTCTTCTAAGAACTGCCTCAGTCATGCTTACAGATAGATATCCAAACATTATCATGGTGGGAACAATATCAACATGTCTTGTAAGAAGTGCTTCGATCTTTCTTATGAATATCTAAACATTATCATGATATCAACACGTCTTCTAAGATGTGTCCCAGTTATTTTTACAGATATATAAACTTTCTCATTGTAGCAATGATATCAACCCATCTTGTAAGGATTCCCTCAATACCCAAACACTCCCATGCTACCAATATCAGCATGTCTAGTAAGGATTCCCTCAATACCCAAACACTCCCATGCTACCAATATTAGCACGTCTAGTAAGGATTCCCTCAATACCCAAACACTCCCATGCTACCAATATTAGCATGTCTAGTAAGAATTCCCTCAATACCCAAACACTCCCATGCTATCAATATCAGCATGTCTAGTAAGGAGTGGACCAATTATTCTTACATTCTCATAGTATACAGAATTGCTGTAAACATACGTTGTAAGATGTAAACAAGTTAATATATTTAAAAATGTGTAAAATGGATTTAAAATCTTGAAAGATTTCCTTATTCATTTCTCTACAATTTTCTGGATTTCTCTAGGTCTGTGGTTTGGAAGCCTGTTGTGCTTCCCTCCTTCCAGAAGTTTCAGTTAAATTCTATTTCAAACATTAACAACCTCCAGGCCAAACCACCAATGGTTACATACACTGGTGCAAATGCAGTATTAGAAAACAAAGTGGGTATATAATGTAAACACAAGCATAATGCATTATGACAGAAAATAAATAAAAAAAGACAAATAAATACATTGGTTAGAACATAAAAATTTGGTATTGTGAGTTCTTAGCTTGACACTGTGCTTTCATTCTCCCGTACATCATATCAATTAAAGACTGTGGAATGTTGTTCCAAGTATCCTGTAAAACTTCCCACAATCTGTTCAAGTTTTTATTCTTCCATTCAGTTTATTAATGAAAGACTGTGGAATGTCGTTCCAAGTATCCTGTAACACTTCCCACAATCTGTCCAAGTTGTTTGCTTGCCATTTAGCTCCACATGGCCTCGATGTTCTTCACATCCAGACATAGTGAAGGCTACAAGTTATTTACGAGTGTTCAATCAGCCTCTTTACCTTCCAAATAGGTTTTCACTACATTAACTGTATACTTGGGGTCAATGTCATATTGAAAGATAAAATCTTACCTAATGATATTACTTCTGAAAAAATAGCACAGAGTATCAGAACCTGCCTATGTCTTGGTAGTCAGAGTATCTTTAATTTTATGTAAATCCCCAACAACCTTGCCTGAGATACGGCCCCACTTGATCTACCCCATACCTTACTGTAGGTTAGGGGTTACCATTCAGTCTTCTGGTCAATAGCTGTCAAGATGAAATAAGTCAAAATGTCAACAGAAAACTCTTATTTATTTAAATACCTTCCAAATCATGTGTTTGGTTTAAATTAATTATAAAAAATGAGATGTAAGAATATCACATGTGACAATCATTAATTTTCTAAAATCTGGGGTATGTAGATGTTGTAATGCTGTGGCTATTATACTAACATCA